TACGTACGTGCTATGCCCACCGTGAGTACTTGTTTGATTGTTTTTACGCATAGATGGCAACACTTGTACTAACTCCCCAATGAGCCAGTTACGAGCACCGCCCGTCTCGCCCGTTTACCCGTTTCTTTGATTTACGAAATATTTTATCTTATTTTGCTGTTACTAATGTTAAAAAAAAAATATAGAAATTATAATGTTTATGATAAAAATAACACCATCGATTTTCATAGCACTAGAGAAAAATACGTTTTTCCCGCCATTTCAAATCAGGCGCTAGTAGAGCCATCTATCGGCAGACATTTCACGAAAAACATAGAAAGTGGGCACAGCATTTTCCGCATTTTTTGTTCATTTTCCACGGCACCATTGGGTTAACTTTCATACAATCAAATAAATTTCACAAAATCCCTTAATTTTCACACAATCCTAAAAAAAAATAAAAATCATAACTTTTACATAATTCCATAACTTTACATAACTTTTACATAACCCAATTCCCTTAAATTTCACCCAATCCCTTAAATTTCACCCAATCCCTTAAATTTCACACAATTCCCTTAAATTTCACACAATTCACTTAAATTTCACACAGTCCCTTAAATTCCACACAAATCTTTAAATTTTACACAATTCCATTACATTTCACACAATCCTAAAAAAAAAAAAAAAAAAAAAAAAAAAAAAAAAAAAAAAAAAAAACTCCATAACATTCAAACAATTCCCTTAAATTTCACACAACACTTTAAATCTCACACAATTCCCTTAAATTCCACACAATCCCCTAAATGTCATACAACCCTTAAATGTCATCCAACTCCCTTAAATTCCACACAGTCCCTTAAATTTCACACAACCCTTAAAATTTCACCCAATCCCATAACATTCAAAATTCCCTTAAATTTCACACAACCCTTAAAATTTCACCCAATCCCATAACATTCAAACAGTTCCCTTAAATTTCACACAACCCTTAAAATTTCACACAACTCCCTTAAATTCCACACAACCACCAACTTAAAACAACCGCGCTGGCTTACTCACCTTCCTGCCCAAGCTCAGAGATGGGTTTGCTCTGCACGTGCGCCATGTAACCCAGAACGGAGAAGATGACAAACCCAGCTAGGAAACTCGTTAAGCAGTTGATAGATGAAGTCAAGATGGCGTCTCTGGAAGGGGGAAGGGGGAAGGGGGGAGGGGGGAGAGAGAGAGAAAAAGGTAGTTATTTTTTTAAGTTTGTTTGAGGGAGGGCGGGTGGGTGTGTAGGGGAGGGGAGGGGGAGGAAGGGAGGGAGGGACGGAAGGAGAGAGAGAGAGAGAGAGAGAGAGAGAGAGAGAGAGAGAGAGAGAGAGAGAGAGAGAGAGAGAGAGAGAGAGAGAGAGAGAGAGAGAGAGAGAGAGAGAGAGGAAGATAAAGGAAGGAGATAGGGTGGGTGGGTGAGAAGGTGAAAGTGAGGGAGAGGGTAAAGAGAGGGTAGATAGATGGTGAAAGTGAGAGGAGAGAAAGAGAGAAAGAGAAAGAGAGAGAGAGAGAGCAGACAGAAAGACAGACAGTAGGACAGGCAGACTGAGAGTACAGGACAAATATCCTACAATAATATTAATAATAATACAATATTATGATATCACTTTGGCGACATATTTTCGCGAGGCAGTCATCTTAAATCAGTTAAAGACATACTATATATACACTGAATAATGTTGGACATTTTTTCAAAGTCATTTCATTACAATATTCACACGAACAAATGTACAATCATAATACTAACAAGTAGACCAAAAATCGACAAGAAACATCTATGACATCAAATACACGATATTTTTTTGGGTAATAAAATTGATCATCACTATCACAGTAAATCACATTACTTAATTACCAATTCGTATTGAAAAAAAAAATCCTCAACTGACATGTATGCATTTTTTTTTACAACGGATATAATCCTTCGTTAATGAAGCCATCGGCGTATGAAAGAATGTTGTATTTAGTAAAGAGTTTCGCCAACAGGGGACCAATGCAGCTGATGCCGATGTGCGTCCGGTTCCCAGCTTTGCAACGGTTTGTATTTTTTATCAGTCTTTCTTTGTCTCTCTCTATTGCTCTTTGTCTTTTGCTCTTTCTGTTTTTTTCTGTCTTTCTCAATAGTTTTTGCCTATGTCTGTCTGTCAGTCTCTCTGTCTCTTTCTCTGTTTACTCTGTATGTGATATCTCTCTCTCTCTTTTTCTCTTTCTCTCTCCTTCTCTCTCTTTCTCTCTCTCTCTCTCTCTCTCTCTCTCTCTCTCTCTCTCTCTCTCTCTCTCTCTCTCTCTCTCTCTCTCTCTCTCTCTCTCTCTCTCTTTGTCTCACTCTCACTCTCAATCACTCACTCACTCAAGAGTGAGTGAGTGAGACCTTAGGTAGTGTCCAAGATTGGTATACTAACGATTTTTTTGGCCATGTTATCATGGTCGTGGTTGAAAACGGGCGTGAAAAAACCGTAGAGTTATCGATACTAGCGATGTGGATGATTTAGAAAGGAATATACATGAATCTGCCTATCTGTCTGTATATTTAGTCCCCGATGGCTCTCCCTTTCTCTCTCTCTCTCTCTCTCTCTCTCTCTCTCTCTTCCTCAATCTCTTCCTCTCTCCTTTCTTACCTCGTCTTCTTTCCTCCTTCCCTCCCTCTTTCCCTTTCCCTACCGTCCCTCCCTCCCTCTTTCCCTCTCTCCTACCGTCCCTCCCTCACTCACTCACTCCCTCTTCCTCCCTTCCTTCCCCACCCTCTCCTCTTTACTCCCTTCCTCCCCCTCCCACTCCCACTCCCACTCCCTCTCCCACCCACCCCGTCCCGCCGGCGAAACTCTAAGGGACCACACGCCATCTTTCAGTAGCGAGGCTAAGACAAACCCCGACTCGTGTGTCCAGCAGTCGACAATTTTTCAGCGACAGAGAGTACATCCGTCTTGAAGAGTCTCCCCTCTCTCTTCCCCTCTCTTACGCTTTGTCTCTGTCTGTCTGCGTGTCTTCTTTGTTTCTATGTTGTTGTTGTTTTTTCCTTTTGCACTTTTTGCTTTTGTTTTATTTTTTCTTCTTTTGCTGTACTCTTTGTTGTGCTGTACTGTGTGTGTGTGTGTGTGTGTGTGTGTGTGTGTGTGTGTGTGTGTGTGTGTGTGTGTGTGTGTGTGTGTGTGTGTGTGTGTGTGTGTGTGTGTGTGTGTGTGTGTGTGTTGGTATGTGTATGTGTATGTGTATGCGTATATATATACGTATATGTATATGTATTTGTATATATATGTGTGTGTGTATATGTACGTGTGTATGCATATATATAGATATACGCACACACATTTTTGTTCACACATACAGACATACTTATAAAACATATATGTATGTATGTATGTATGTATGTATGTATGTATGTATGTATGTATGTATGTATGTATGTGTATGTATGTATTATGTATGTATCTATATAAACACATATACATCCATGCATACATGTATATTCATACAGACACCCGTTCCTCCTCTCTCCCTCCCCCCCTATCCCCCCACCCCCCACCCCCCACCCCCCTACCCCACCACTACCCTTCCTACACACCGCACCTAAACCAACTCACTCATCCCACTCATACATAAACCAGATTAAAGAAATCGAACACTAACACGTTCCTCACACGTTCCTCACACGTTCCGAACACGTTCCCAACACGCCTCCGGGAGGGACCCACAGGCGCGAGGAGACAATGGATGAAAACTCAGGAAGGTCACAGATCACACGCCGAGGAGGGGGGGAGGGGGCGAGGGGGTGGGGGTAGGCGTACGTGGGTTATTGGTCTCATTGTTATAAGCGAGAGGAGGGTGGGGGGAGGAAGGGAGGGGAGGGAGGGGAGGGGAAGGAAGGGGGGGAGGGGGGGAAAGGGGATTAAGGGAGGAGGGTGTGACGGGGGAGAGGGGGGAGGTTGGAGAAGAGAGGAGGGAGGGAGGAGGGGGTAGGGGAGGGTAGGGAGAGGAGGGATAGAGCCAGGAGGGAAGGGAATAGAGGAGGAGGGGAAGGAGGGAGGGTAGCTAGGAGGTAGTGGGGAAGGGGAGGGAGCGTTTGAGGGGGAACAGGAAGAAGGGAAGTGGGGGGGGGAGGGAGATGGAGGAGAGGCGGTGATAAGACAGAGATGAGAGGGAGGAGAAGGAGAGGCGGGGTTAAGCGGGAGGATGAGAGAGCACGAAGAAAAGTGAGAGGGAAATTCCAAGAATGAGAAGAGTGTGAGAAGAGAAGAGAGAGACAAGGAATGAAGGAGAGGAAGAAGGAAGGGAAGATAGTGAGAGAGAGGGAGAGAGGGAGAGAGAGAAAAAATGTGAAGAGAAAACTGTGAAGCGCGAGACAAGGAATGGAGGAGAGGAAGAAGGAAGGGAAGATAGTGAGAGAGAGGGAGAGAGGGAGAGAGGGAGAGAGAGAAAAAATGTGAAGAGAAAACTGTGAAGCGCGAGACAAGGAATGGAGGAGAGGAAGAAGGAAGGGGAGACAGTGAGAGAGAGGGAGAGAGTGAGAGAGGGAGAGAGAAAACTGAAGAGCGAGACAAGGAATGAAGGAGAGGAAGAAGGAAGGAAAGATAGTGAGAGAGAGGGAGAGAGGAAGAGAGAAAACTGTGAAGAGCGTAAAGAGAGAAGAGCGAAATAAGGAATGAAGGAGAGGAAGAAGGAAGGGGAGACAGTGAGAGAGAGGGAGAAAGGGAGAGAGAAAAAAATGTGAAGAGAAAACTGTGAAGAGCGAGACAAGAAGTGAAGGAGAGGAGGAAGGAAGGGAAGATAGTGAGAGAAAGCGAGTGGGGGAGAGAGAAGAATGTAAAGAGAGAAGAGTGAAACAAGAAGTGAAGGAGAGGAAGAAGGAAGAGGAGACAGTGAGAGAGAGTGGGTGAGGGAGAGAGTAAACTGAAGAGCGAGACAAGGAATGAAGGAGAGGAAGAATGAAGGGAAGATAGTGAGAGAAAGTGAGTGAGGGAGAGAGAAAACTGTGAAGAGAGAAGAATGGAGAGCGAGGCAGTAAGGAAAGGAGAGGAAGAGAGAAGGGAAGATAGTGAGAGAAAGCGAGTGAGGGAGAGAGAAGAATATGAGAGAAGAGTGAAGAGTGTGAAAGAGTACGTGAACATGTAGATGAGGGATGATGAGAGTGAGAGAAAGAAGAAGACGAAGATGATAGGAAGAGGAAGAGAAGACAGAGATGATAGGGAGAGGAATAGGAAGCAATGGAGATGAGAGACAGAGAAAAGGTGTAAGGGCAGTAGTAAAGAAAAGGGGAAGAGGAAAGTGCGAAGATGAGAGAGAGAGAGGAAGAGAAGAGGACAAAGATGAGAGAAAGAGGTATGTGAAAAGGCGGAGATGATAAAAAGAGAAAGAGAAGAGGGCGAAGACGAGAGAAAGAGGAAGAAGAGGAGATAGAACTGAGAGAAAAGGGGAGATGAGAAAAAGAGGAAGAGGAGAGAGCGAAGAGGAGAGAAAGAGGAAGAGGAGAGAGCGAAGAGGAGAGAGCAAAGAGGGAAGAAAAAGGAAGAAGAGAGAGCGAAGAGGAGACAAAGAAGAAGAGGAGAGAGCGAAGAGGAGAGAACAAAGACAAGAAAAAAAAAAAAACGAATAGGAGAGGCCACAGATAATAAAAAAGCTAAAACAGAATAGGAGGCGAGACTATAAGAAAAAGAGAGAAAAAAAAAGAGAAAACCACAGAAACAAAAAAAAAAAAAAACGGAACAAAATAAACCGAAAAAAAAACATAAAAGCACACACACAAAAGCAAAAAATACGAACAAAAAAAAAAACGAAGAAAAAAAACAAAATACAAAAAAAAAAAAAAAAAAAAAAAATATTACCCCATATCTGACAGAATTCACAAGAGAAGAAAGTACAAGAATATGCAAATTATGTCTGTCGAGGGAATAGCTAGAAGAGATAAAGTGAAACAGGAACTTTAGAGGTGTCTTTGTGAAGGAAAAGGACGAAGGAAGAGGAAGAGAAGAAAGGGGAGATGAGGGAAAGGGGAAGAGAAGAAGTGGGATGAGGATGAAGAGGTAATGAATAAAGGGGGATGAGTGAAAGGGGAAGAGAAGAAAGGGGAGAAGGGGGGGAGGGAAAGGGGAAGAGAAGAAAGGGGAGATGAGGAAAGGGGAATAGAAGAAAGGTGGATGAGGAGGAAGAGGAC